CTCTCTCTCTCTCTCTCAACCATCATCTTCGACTCCGCCATCATCGCCATGAGCTTTTCGACGGAGCAGGTGATCAGCGAGCGTCTGATGACCCTGAGGGGGCGTATAGGGACGATCCGGTAGGTGCAGCGACCTCGGTCGAGTCCCGATCTTCTTCGATTCGCAGCCTTTTTCAGCGCGGCAGCCATCCACGCAGCAGCAGAATTCCACTTCGTACACGCGGGAGCGGCGCGTGTAGTGGCCGAGGTCTCGGCTTTCCAACGCCTGTCCTTGCCTGACATCAGCCAAATATATGTCCTTGTCACCTTCATGGGGGCTGTGCATTCGACGATTCATACGGACATCTACCGACAACTGCGGGGTTGGGCCAGGGAGATCCCGACCATGTGGACGGAGTTGTTGGCACGACCAGGCGATAGGGTCGTGACCTTGAACGACGTGGACCTCCAGCTTTGAGCCTCTAGCAGCGCGCCAGAGGTCCTTCTCCTGGAACTCCTTCCCTTTGCACCGCCCCAATGAACCGTCGTCGTCACTCTCTCTTCAGCCTTCCGTCTGATCCCTCCCCTTTTTGGCAATCTGCAGCCGATCCCGCCCTCTCTTTCCGGATTCGGGAACTCAGTGTGCCGATCCTAGACAATGGCAAGTGGAACGAGTGGTGGGACGCGTACGTGGAACTTAGCTTCTGCTTGGTGGAGGCGGTGTTTTACTGGGCGGAGCCGGCCCCTTAGGCTGAAGGGGGCGGAATCCAGGACGACGAGGTAGAGTTGTTGACTGCGCAAGCCAAGCAGACGAGTACGGAGGGGGAACTACTGGGGATATAATTTGGCAAGGTGGAGGAAGGCCACCTCGACGCGATCACGGACGAATTGCTCGTGTTCTTGGCGCAGTTGGTAGACGATTTGCCCCTCCACATCCTGTTGCGGTGTGTCGGAAAGCCGGGGACGGACGTGCTCACTCGCACGCTTGCGCCGTATCTCCTATGGTCCACATGCACGAAGCTGGACGAAGATAACTGCCTTTATCCGTCCCAGAGCCACTATCTCGTGATCGACGTCGCCGATCTTACATTGTGGGACCCTTTTGTCCAGCGGGGAAACGCGCAAGGAACCGTGGAAGAGGAAGAAGAAGAGGAAGAAGAAGAGGAAGAAGAAGAGTCGGACGCTGAGTCGGACGATCCTGATTACCTCGGGACGGAAGACGTTGACTTGGAGGAAGGAGAGGAGGGATCAGGCAGGTCGGGTGGTCCAACCGGGCGAGGCGAAGAAACGGACGAGGCCGCGAAGCAGAGAAGGCGAGAGAAGGCAGAGGGTAAGCAGCCGATAAGAGAACGGGAAAGGCTGCTGTCGCGACTACTGCAGGACGACCTGACGCGAAATCCAGAGCCGCCACGGGAGCAGAGTGAGAGAGATAAAGTCGTCGCCGCCGAGGGATCGGGTAGCAGACGCTGTCGAAGAAGTGAATTGCCGTCTCAATCCTCTTCACCTCCACGGACCGCCGTTCGCCCTCGTCAAAATGAGGGCCATCGGGCTTCGTCCCCGGTCATTGTCCCGTCGTCCCGATGATTTCCTCACCCTTTACCTGCTTCTGGGCCGACCCCCGTTCCCTGACTGATGGCACCCTTTCCCGCCCTCCCTCTTCCATCAACTCTATTCCACCCGCCTCCTAATCACCGTTATTTCGGACGCCACCACTCGCCCCCTTGCAACTTCCTTCCTTCTTCACGTCCTTCTCTTCAGCGCGGCCTGGCGGGAATATAATAAAATAGAGGTCTATTGCATCATCTCGGGCACGATCCCCGCTTGCGAAGATTACAAACATTTCCGCGCCGCTATCCCCCGCACCCTCTGCACTCTCTACCCTGACTACCTTGCGTCCCTCCCTCATCAGCGTCAGCACCCACGCTTCCCTCGCATCCATCCCACCGTCCATTACACCCGGATCCCCACCAACGATAGGGAGGTCCGTCGCTTCATGCCTATGAAACACCCGCGGACGCGTCCGCGGGGTCAAGCTCGGAGGGCGGACGTGATCACGGCCGCCGCGGCTCCGGCCGCGGTTGGGTGCGGCCGTGACTTTCCGGAATTTTTTGTGACCCTAAACATTTATAAAAAAAAAAACAAAAAATATGGGGTTGTAGATCTTTTTGAGATCTAAAATGCGCAATTTTTTATTTCATTTTTTGACTTCGTCTTTGAATTTTAAAAATTCAAAAACTAATTTTCCGAAGGCAAAAGCTGTTTGTGTTTTTTTTATTGCAAAAAAAAAACATGAAACGTATGTGATTTTTTATTTTAAATTCAGTAACGTTTTTGGATATGACCAGAAGGCAAAAGTTGTTCAGTATATGTTTCTGCATAACATATTTGTTTTTCAGATTTTTTTTTATTTTTTTTTATTTTTTTTTTCATGGCCGCGGATCGCGGACACGTCCGCGGGGTCGCGGCCTAGGCCACGGCCGCGGACATGTCCGCGGATGGCCGCCGCCGAGGGGGATTCGTAGCTTCATGACTCCTCTCCCCGAAGCTCATCCACCGCCTCCGCCGCCTGTGATTAGATTACCCTTCCCCGGTGATGAGTAGGACAGAAGCCCACGACTGCCACGTAGGATGACTTCCACACTCTTTTCTTTAAATTTCTTACAGTAAGTGGCACGTGTCGGCTTCGCATCGCTTCATAGAACGGGCGATGAACCTTGAAAGGAGCAAGCAGGAGCTTGCTCAGGAATGGAACCCCCTTGGCATAGCATATGTGACGAGCTATTTTTCTGTGCCGCGCAACTTTCCGCGCGAGGTTGATGAGTGGTCTCGGGAAGGTGAGGTCGGGTGAAGAATGGGAGACTCAGGGAGAGGGGTCGACGGGACAAATTGCATGGGTATCCTCGCTTTTTTTTTTCTCTCTTCGATGATGTCGGGCCAGGACCTGGGAAGCCCCGGACGAACTGTTGAGGGGGCGCGCCACGACAAGCGCAATCAATAACGTTGTGTAACACTCCGTACGACGTACGGGGGGTTTATCGTACGGTCGTACGTATGGCCGTATGAACGGCCGTACGGCCGTACGTACAGCCCCGTACGGAAAAAAAACAAAACAAAAAAAAAAAAAAAAACGTTTTTTTTTAATCTCAAATTTGGTAACGAATTTCAATATGACCCTGAGGCAAAAGTGTTTCAGTTTATTTTTCTGCATACCATATGTTTTTTTCAGATTTTTTTGAATTTTTTGTTTTTGCTTTTTTTTTCCATACGTACGGCCCGTACGACCACATGAGCCCATACGTACGGCCGTACAGACGTACGGACGGCCCTTATTCGTACGGGGGTATACACAGCAATAACGTTCTCTCTTGTTCTGCTGGGGCGAAGGGGAACGAGAATTTTGGCGCGATGACCGCGCGGGAACATCGTTTTTCTTTTTCAAATTTTTCTTTCAACTGATGTCGAGCCCCCATGGGCTTCCCGGAATTGTTTTTCGAATTTTCGTTTTTCAGAATTTTTGTTTTTTGCAATTTGGATTTAGATAGGAATTTAGGAACTTGAAAATTTTTGCTGCGTTGCGCTTCTTGCTGGCGCGCGCCTTTCTGCGGCGAGAGCAGAGTTCTGATTGAGTGGCGTCCTTAATCTTGCGTGTAACTGTAATTTTTGGTGGGCGTAATTGTAACTGTGTTTCTCTTCTTGCTCTCGTCTTCCTCCCACCTCCTTTCTTCCGGACATGCATGTGCCTCCCTACGATCTGATTGGCCAAGACGTTGCATGCTCAGATCAACGAGTGGAGAGTGGCTACGTCCCCCACGCCGCGGCCTGACCATGCAGAACGTAGGCACTTCGTTTCTCCTCCCCTCCTTCTCAAAAGCGCAATCCCGTATCTGCCGCGCATGCATGCACGCTATAAATCCTGCGAACGCGATGAAGACTCTCTCTAAGAACTTCGGAAAATTCCAAGGGTTAGCGCGATCAGTGAGGGTCGGCTAACATGTAAGCAAAAACGTGAGTTGATGTGGGAGTTGGGGGACCCAACGAGCTGGTGCTGGGTATGCGGGGTTGACGTGCGGGCCGTGACGGACTGTGGCGCACGGGCGAACCTGGCTTGCATACGCGGACCAAGCGCTGGCAAGCGGGGTGACGACTTCGTAAGTGATGCGAGACGACGGACTGTCCGGATCGAGGAAAGAGAGAGAGAGTGTGTGGGGAACAGATGGGTGTGGAATTGCGACCTTCCTTTTTCTGTACTTTGTATAAAATTTTGGTCTCGGGCGGAACACCATCGCTTTTATCTCTGGTCTACTTCTTTTCTGTATCTGGGTGTGTTGATCTACTCCTGTCTCTTATACACATCTAGATGTGTATAAGAGACAGGTGGGGAACAGATGGGTGTGGAATTGCGACCTTCCTTTTTCTGTACTTTGTATAAAATTTTGGTCTCGGGCGGAACACCATCGCTTTTATCTCTGGTCTACTTCTTTTCTGTATCTGGGTGTGTTGATCTACTCTCCCTCCTCCTCTTTAATGCCTGTCAATGGTTGGGAATTCAACCGTCTCGAGTTGTTGGATGTATGTGTCGATTTGTGCCTCATCTCTGCATGAATGAATGCATGTATGTATGGGGATTCGACGAACGCATCACTGCATGGTTGCACTGTGCGTCGGGGAAGGGTTGCGAGATTGCCGGTTGACTTCTGTTGATGTGAATGAATGAAGTGTGACTCTGTCGAAAGCATGGATGTCTGGGTTGCTGAGCGGTTGCCTTTTGTTATGCATGACATGGGTTTTTATTTGGATTAGATGATCGCGCGTTGGACTTTTGACGGACCACAGGGGACACCAGAAACAGCCCCATTGACCGCAGGCGCGATCTCGAGCGACCAGTGCCCACGTGTAAGTGCGACCGCCAGGGCGCGGCCTACACGCGTGTACTCAAGACCCGTCCGTAGAAACCTATGGTGGAACCAACCCTTTCCCGAGGGTATGGACGTTGAGATCCCGTTTCACGTCACGGACCGTGAGAGTCTGAGGCATCAGCGATCTCGGGAACGTTGGGAACGGGAGCGTGCCTATCAGGCCGCGAGACCCCAAGCCCCGATCTCGGAATTTCCTCACCACACTGGAACGGAGCGCTTATGCGAGTGGGACATCGAACGGAGCGCTTTTGCCCCTCCCCCGACTTCCCCCCGCCCTATCCCGACTTCCCCCCCTCCCGCTATCCTGACTTTCCCCATCCCTATCCCGACTTCCCTCCTCCCTGTATCCCAACTCTACCCCCCCCTATCCCGACTTCCCCCTCACCACCCTACTTAATCAATCAATCAATCAATCAATCAATCAATCAATCGATGATTTCGATTGATTGATTGATTGATTGATTGATTGATTGATTGATTGATTGATTGATTGATTGATTGATTGATCATCTTCTTCTTCTTCTTCTTCTTCTTCTTCTTCTTCTTCTTTTTCCTCCTCCCTTACTTTCGCCCCTATCCCGACTTTCGCACCTTCCCCAATGTTCCCCCGCCCTATCCGGACTTCCCCCCTCCCGCTATCCCGACTCTCGCATTGTGGGGACCGAGGTCCAGCCGCGGCCTTGGAGACTTACCTGTTGCCCGGTACGTTGCGCAACGAATCGATCGAAGTACTCTCTCTTACCTGTTGCCCGGTACGTTGCGCAACGAATCAATCGAAGTACTCTCTCTCTCTCTCTCTCTCTCTCTCTCTCTCTCTCTCTCTCTCTCACACACACACACACACACACACACACACACACACACACANACACACACACACACACACACACACACACACACACACACACACACACACTCACGCACACGCACACGCACACGCACACGCACACACCCCTGCTTCCAGTAGGATGTGCATGAATGGGCCGGTAGGATGCATACTTGGAACACAGGTAAACTGCCTCCTCAAGGGCCTGTGTATAACAGACAAAAAGCCGTCCCTTGACCCCATGGAGGGACTGTGTGTGGGTTTTTTTTTCCGGTTTACCTGTATCCGGTTCTACTTTTCTAAGAGAACGTCGAAGGGCGGTTCTACGAAACTAACGGCCGCCCTGGGGTATTGGGTCTCATTGGAAGGACCCGAGAAACCATCTGCTTGTGGGAAAACTGGGATTCGAACCTTCGAAAAACCTGCCCCGCCAAAATGGATGGCCAATCGGAGGGAGGTGACCTGCGCGGGAGGGGTATGGGAGATTGTCCCCCCGTTGGATGGTGGATCCCCATGCCACCAGACGACGGAACGGCTGAGGTGGTGACTGTTCGGGCACCCGGACTGTATATAACACAACCAATCTACAGTCCTCACCCTCTTGCTTACCCGCACCGCAGTTCCCGCCTCCAGTTCTCGAGAAAGCGCTGGTACCTGCGCGTGCTTTTGCCTATGCTGTCACTACGGGAATCTGCGTTGAGCTCTCTCCTTGATTGCGCCCTCCGACGCCCATTCACCGAAAACGCCTGCTGCATTCAATCAATGCTCTTCTCGTAGCTCTATACTCTGCCTCTCCGCTCATGATGCCCGCTTGATTGGCGCTGGTGCACGGGACCACCCCTTCCAGGTCAGCAGAATCCTGGTTCAAGATGAGCGTTTGCAGACGAGGATTGCCACGCAATCTACCTGATTGGTTCGCCGTGTGAGATGACGTCAGGAGCGGTAAAGATTTCACCATCCTTTTGTGCCCACCACCCACCCCCAGCCCCCACCATTTGCGATGTGCTTACAGATAGTGGACATGTCTCCTCCCCACATGCCCTGTTCTCTCTGCACCCTACTCTCCCTCCCTTCTGTGTTATCACTTTCGGATGCTGCCTCTTGATTCTCCCTGCTCTCTCTCTCTCTCTCTCTCCCTCTCTCTCTCTCTCTATCTCGCCTACTCTCTCTCTCTCCCTCTCTCTGGCTCTTTCTCTCTCTCCTTCTCTGTCTTTCACATCTTTCTATCTCGT